CTTTGGTGGTTTTGTCAAGACATTTATTTTAAGAGTAACTCTCAGTAGAATTTATCAGTAAATTACTTCATATATTCTTGGCATTAAAATTTTTCCCCATAAAGAATAGTGTAATTTCTTTCCTCCTAGTAATGAAAAAGTGAAACTGTCTTCAAACATTTATATGTTGGACACTGGCCCTTATGTCAGTAATTTTAAGAATGCCCCCTTTGGGAGCTTGAGCCTCAGCCACCCAACCTCAGTGGCAGACCTGTAAGAGGCAAAGCCATGCAGGTACCTATAGCCCCCACCCCACCCCCACGTGCCTCTGGCATCCTGGCTGGGCTGGTACCTGGATTCACACCACAGAAGCACGGGGGGGCGGGTCATAAAGGCTATTGTCTTGAATTTTAGCCTCGATTTTGACTTAATTCACACAGTTGAAGATGATAGATTAATAACTACCACAAACTGTCATTTTCTAAGCGGTGCTGGATGCTTTTGTGTTGCTGATTGTATCACTTGGGCTAAGATGTTGTGATTGATATAATCAGTTGTCCTTCCTGGTATAATGAAAAAGAGATTGCCTCGGAGTCCTTAGAGACTCAAAACCTAAACACAAGCTATAGTAGAAAGATCGAAGTATTAAACCAGGTATCAAATGAAGGACAGTACCAACAACAAAAATAGAAATGGGAAGACATTCAAACAAGGCTCAAGCACAAACACAAACTTCCAGCTTACTAAAGGCAAACTTGTGTGGGAAATGAGGTGGAAAAGTCTGGCAATCAACCATCAGTACACCATGAACTGACAGCACAGGAAGTAACAAGGCAGATGAATGAGGCTCTAGAAAAATTCAAAACAGAAATAATTTCCCAGATAACTACGGAGGTGGTAAACAGAATGAATGACATGATTAGAGACTCCAGAACAGAAACAGATTAAAAAAAAAATACATGAGCTGAGGACCATGATAGAAGCCATGAATGCCCAGCATAGGAAGAAATGGAAACCATGAATGCCCAACATAGGAAAGAAGTGGGATCCATGAAACAGATTCACACAGATATCCAGGAGATTAAAAAGTCTATTGAAAATTTACATAACACACTGAGCCAAAGTAAAGACAGGATATCAGATATAGAAGATAGGATGGAGATCATTGACCATGAAAAGAAGGATCTCTTAATAATAGTAAGGGAACATGAGAAATCACTCCAACAGCTCCTAGATAATACAAAGAAGAATAATATAAGACTGATAGGAGTCCATGAAAAAGCAGGAGAAAGTATAAATGACATAAAATCTTAACAAAATTAATAACAGAAAACTTCCCAAACAGAGGGGAAGAATTTGACATACAGATAAGTGAGGTATATAGGACTCCAACCAGCCATGTTAAAAAAAAAAAAATCTACACATAGACGTATAATAATCAAGATCCCAGAAACTCAATAGAAGAACAAAATACTACACGCAGTTAGAAAAAAGAAACAAATCACATACAAAGGAAAGCCCATCAGAATCACAGCAGATGTTTCAACACAAACCCTCAAATCAAGGAGAGCCTGGAGTGAGGAATTTCAAGCCCTAAAACAACCTCCAACCTAGACTGATGTATCCTGCAAAACTATCTTTCAAAATGGATAGGGAAATAAGATATTCCCATGACAAAAAACACCTGAGAAACTTCATGAATACCAAACCAGCGCTCCAAACAATTATGTCCTAGAAAAAGGCAATGTAGATCACAACTTCATGAGGCCTAATAGAGCAAATTCAGGAGGCAAAGTAAGAAATTAAAGGGAGAAGGGGGAAAAAATTAAAGAGTCAACAATAGGATAATAACACAATGGTGATAAGTCAGTACATATCAGTTATAACCATTAATGTTAATGGCCCCAACTCATCAATCAAAAGAAATTAACTGGTAGAATGGATTAAGAAGCAAAATCTAACAATATGCTATATACAAGAAACCTACCTAGTCCAAAAAGAAACTCATAGACTGAAAGTAAAAGGACAGAAAACAGTTCTTCATGCAACAGGAACCCAGAAAAAAGCACGGGTAGCTATCTTATTTGTAGACAAAGTAAATTTCAAACCAAAATTCAGAGAGAAGGGCATTATATCCTTGTAAAGGAAACAATCCAAGAGGAAGAGATGACAATCATAAATATATATGCACCAAATACTAATGCCCCCAACTATACAAAACAAATATTAAGGGACATGAAAAACCAAATAGCACTAATACAATTGTAGTGGGGGACCTAAGTACCCCACTGTCACAAATAGACAGGTCATCTAGACAAAAAAAATCAACAAAATGCTAGAACTGAATCAAGGTTTTGAAAAAATGGGCTTAACAGACATCTACAGAGTATTCCACCCCACAAAATCAGAATATACATTATTTTCAGCTGCACATGGGTCATTTTCTAAAATGGACCACATACTAACTCTTAGAACATGTTTAAGAAAATGTAAAGAAGTTGAAGTTATCTCATGTATATTGTCAGACCATAGTGCAATTAAACTAGAGATCAATAGCAAAGGAAACTGCAAGAACTTCACAAACACATGGAAATTGAACAGCACTCTCCTGAGCAACCAATGGGTCACAGAAGAAATTAGACAGTTTTACAAATAAATGATAATGCCAATACAACATACAGGAATCTATGGAACACAATAAAAGCAGTTCTATGAGGGAAATTTATAGCACCGAATATCCATACTAGGCAAACAGAATGAGCTCAAATAAACAACTTAATGCTGGATCTTAAGCTTCTAGAAAAAGAAAAGAAAGACAAACCCAAAGCTCTTACAAGGGAGGAAATTCTAAAGATCACAGCAGAAATCAATGCAATGGAGACTAAGAGAATGATACAAAAAAATCAATGAATTGAAGAGTTGGTTTTTCAAAAGAATAAATAAAATCAATAAACCCTTAGATCAAACAAAGGAAGGAAAAGGCTCAAATCCATGCAATTAGGAATGAAAAAGGTGAAGTCACAATAGATCCAACAGAAATCCAGAGGATCACCAATATCTACTTCGAGAACCTGTACTCTAATAAAATGGAAAACACAGAAGAAATGGACAGATTTCGAGATACATGAATTAGCAAAGTTGAACAAAGAACATATAAAAATTCTAAACACCCCAGTTATAATCAGTGAAATTGAAAATGTAATTAAAAATTTGCCAATAAAGAAAAGCCCAGGTCCTGATGGATTCACTGCTAAATTCTACAAAACATTTAGAGAAGAACTACTGCCAATACTCTAAACTTTTCAATGAAATTGAAAGGGAAACAGTACTTTCAAATTCATTCCTGGAAGCAAGTGTTACTTTGATTTCAGAATCAGGGAAAGACCCAACCAAAAAAAGAGAACTACAGGCCAATCTCCCTTAATAAACATAGATGCAAAAATCCTTAGTAAGCTACTAGCAAACAGAATACAGAGGGTCATCGAAAAGTGGCTTTGTGTCTAGGCTTGACCAGGTGGCAGTGGCTGTACATGCTATGCTTTAACGACTTCTGGGTGGTAACTTCTGGCCCAAAATGCTATCTCCCCAGGGGTCTAAAAGAAAAACCCTGAACTTCTCAAGTAAACTAGGTCTAAATTATGCAAAAGGAAGAGAGAACGGTTCAGGCCACAAACATAAGCAGACTGACATCACTTCAACAGCACATAGTAAGCAAAAATTCAGATGTACTGTGGACCCAGTTGCTACACTTGGAAAGAAGCAGCTTGCCCAGAAAGCAGCTGCTGAAAAATCTAACAAATCCTGACTTCCATCTTGCATCTAGAGACAGCCCCACTACACCCATGAAGAAGTCAATCTAGGGACTAAAGATTTAGCTCAGTGTCGCCATGCCTGCCTATCAAATGCAAGGACCTGAGTTTGATCTCCAGTTCTGGAAAAAGAAAAAAAAAAAAAAAGTCAATCTGCCCACTGGCTATCTGGACTGTTTTACTAAAACAAGTCACAAACTCACAAAAGTTTATACCTTCAATTTGATATACACAATTTTTTTTCTTTCTTTGTTCAAGTGAGATAAGGATGAAGTATCAACATTCTAAATGTTGTGTTCTTTTTAAAGCTATTTCACACTAAAGTAGTAGTAGATACATCATCTAAATAACAGCCCTGCTAAGTCAGTTTTTCTGCTGGTGTGGCCCAAGGACTCTCTGCCTTAGATCATCTGGAAGGCTTTCAAAATGTGAATTCCTGTGCTCCACCCCAAACCTGCCAGATCAGAATCCTTGAGGATAATGCTTAGGAACATTAATTGGTCATTGTTGTTTTCTTTTGCTCTTTATATTGTTATACTTAATCACGAGAGATTATAGAGAATCACCACCACTCTGAGCCAAATTTGAGTCCTTTATTGCCTACGTTTGAGAGTGGCTTATGCCTGGAAACCTCTCAAGGAGGAAAAGTGGCTTGCAGGGGTTCTTTTAATTGACTCTTCTAATTGGGGAGGGCTCAGGCAGACAGGGAGCAGCAGGGAATTTCACAGGAGCAGAACTAGTTTTACACAGTTTAGTTGAAACAAAATATCACATAGGTGTGGAGTATACTGTTCACAAGTTTATAAAGATAACATATAGTTGCAGATTGCTCTACCAAACAGGATGTGGGGTTCTGACATGAGTTAACTAAGGGGACTCCCAAGGAGGGGTGGGTTGGGGGAGGCAACCACCTGAAATCACTGGACTTTACACAAATGGAGTCAGATTGGCTATCACAATGTTAAGGGCATCACCTGTGGACAGGTTCATTCTACTTGAATGTACATAGAAGAGCAAATGGGGAGTAGTTTATTGCTAAATCTGATTATTAACCATCCTAATTACTGTTACGGTGCTTTTTTCTTATGGCACAAGAAAATACTGCTTATTCAGCCAATGGTAGCAAAATCTCTGCTGGACCTTTCCCATATGTGGGTGTTTTGTGTCTTATAAACAAAAACTAGAAAAATAATCAACAGCTTCTTTTCATAGATCATGCAACAGATGAGTGACCACCGCTATGACAAGCTCACTGTGCCTGATGACATGGCTGCAAACTGTATATATCTCAACATCCCCAGCAAAGGACATGTCTTGCTGCACCAAACCCCAGAAGACTATCCAGAAAGTGCAAAGGTAAAAACAAAACAAAACAAAAGAAAACTAGCTTTCCTTCTGGCCACTGCAGCCGAGTAAGACCTCCCTGGGGATTACTTTTATGATGGCGTGCCAAATGGGGTCTTCCTTTTCCTCTATACACATCAGGTCATTAAGACAGCAGAAAGGATATTAAGGGCACAGGAAAGGTTTATTTAACTTGATTTTCTCTTTCATATCATTAGTCACTAATGCATTCATGATAGTTGAGACAACCATACCTGGTATTCAGAGTTTTTCGAATAATACTCCAACCACTCAAGTCTGTGCCCAGCTCTGATTAAATATACCTTTCCACATCAGTATTCACTAAGCATAAAGACCTACAATCAGATGGTCAGCTGTTCATTGTTTTCTGGCCAATCTGAGCAGCCCCTTCGTAGCTTCTTAAGGCAGAGGCATATGAATGACCCAGAGAGGTGTGTACTCATTTCGAGAAAAGGGTCTAGGTGGTAAGAAGATAGAGCAGGAAGAAATATGGCGCTCTTGAGAACCAGCAAGCTAGTCCCACCAGGAGTCCCTGCATTTGTGTTCGAACAAGGAATTTGTCCCTGGATCTGGAATTTTTTCTTGTCTTAAGAAAATCTCCTTTGCCTCTCAGGGTACTCTGCTAGTATCATATGTATGCCTTAGTAATTTCAATTTTATCCTACCAAGAAGATTGAACAGTGTTCAACTATGGATACCTCGAGGCACTTCAACTCCTTCATCTCTTCCCAGAGGAATATTTATATGAAGTCTTTATTGCCATTGACTTTTGCTTTGAAAATATTAAAGAGTATTACAAACACTTTTAAAATATGCAATACTATATTGTTACTAGGTTTACCCTCTAATTTTTGTTACCCTCTTTGCAGATAAAAACAGAAGGATGGGGAAAATATATAGATAATTTCTCTCTGTTTCCATGGCCAGAAGTTTGAACTTGCAGAAAATGTAAAATTCCTGGACTCAGACTAGGGCTTAATAGTGGATCTCATACTTTAAGCGCATCAGTGCGTCAGGGTTGTTAAATCTGGACCCCCAGTATAGAACAGCCTGACTACCAGATGATCAGTAACCACTTCCTCATTCAACCTGTGCCTGTCATCAATATCAGTAATATTAATAACACCCCATTGTAACTATTAATAACACCCTTGTGGATGGCTAATGACAGAGGGCTTCTCTGGTGCCAGGCACTGTGCCAAGCAAGCTATAGGAATTGTCTTGTTTTGTCCTTGTAACAGTCCTATTTCAGCCTTATAGAGAAGTAAGCAGGTGCATAGAGGCTGTCACTTCATAGAAGGCCTAGTTGTAAGTTGATGGCACTGGGTTTGGAACCCAATTCCAACTGGTTCCAGCACTTTTCATTAGCCACTGTACTGTGTTTTAAGGAGTGCTCCCCCCAAAAGCATGATAGATTAATTTTAGGCAGTATGTTTTCAAGTGATTTTGTTTTAAAAGTGTATTTCTTTGATCACAGAGAAAAATCTGTGGACTGTTAATTTGAAGTTTTGAAACTAGATTCCCATTAGTGTTGAAAGATACTATAAAATTCACACCTGTAGTTTAAAAGCAGTGTGATCTGAAATATTCACTTAAATTACACTTTGTCAGATTTTTCCAGTGGTCTCAGTAAGGAAAAAAACAAAGCACGACTGAGAGGACTTTCAAGTGTGAAGAAAGAGAGAAATGTTCAGGCTGAACACAGAGCCACTGACTTTGTTTTATCACTTCATCTAGCAGTGACAATAGTAGAGTTAAGGCATTTGCTGACAACAACCACATCTCTGACACATCTTCGGCTTTGAGGTTAAAGCTTAGAGCTAGTGGTTAACCAGTTGCCACCAGCTGTGGGTGTGTGTGTGGCAGAGGTTCCGTATGTACTGGGGTTAAATGAGGGCACAAACTAAATAATTCTTCTCACCTGGGGGCAGTGAAACAGGCAGAAATGTAATCCTTCTCTCCCTCACCCGCAATTCTCATTGCAGGTTTATGAGAAACTGAAAGACTATCTGCTGATCCCCGTAAGCATGTCTGAACTGGAAAAGGTGGATGGGTTGCTCACCTGCTGCTCGGTTTTTATTAACAAGAAGGCAGACTCCTGAGCTGCAGAGTCCCTCCCTTGTAGCTGCCGAGATGGCCCAGGCCAGGCTGATGACTCTGTACCCACTCCCGTTGTTTTTCTTGACAATCTACTGTGCCACTGTGCTACTAACTCTTGTTTACAAAAATTTAATTCTAAGTTTAAATGCTTCTTTTTCTGCACCCTCATCCTCTTTCCCCTCATGGTGGTACCTAAGCTGTGGACGTGCTACATGAATTAAACAACCTAGAAAATAGAACTAATGAGTCATTGAAACGTGATTAATACTAGTATGGAAACACTCATTTTAGTGTTGGTATTATCTGTGTGAAAATCGTTTAGTTGCAGTATATTCTGAAGAATGTCTTCTTTATCAGTCAGATAAGCTAGGTTTTTCTCCTCTGTATCATAAATCATGTTTGGTTCCTGTGAAATTCCTAATCCAGTGATTCTCCCCATTTCTCTTTTTTCTTCTGAATTCTAAAAACTTTTTTTCCAAGTACTTTCTTTTGCCTTTCCCACTTCTATCACAGCCACCTTGACCTTGGGTAAAACCCAAGGTCTTGCATTCTGAACACCTTCCTGCAGGTCAGCCCTGGCTGCCTTCAGTCTCCTCTGCCTCTCGGCAGACACATCTTCTGTCACCACTACCCCACTGTCCCCTGGCGGGCCCAACAGGCTCCTCAGCAGAGCTGTGACAAAAATCAGAGTGGCAGTGTTAGCTGCACAGAGGCACATCCTCACAGGATTGGCCCAGGAAATCCACATTCCAGAAGTAGGGCACCACACCCAGAAGGGCAAATTCGGCACCAGATGGTTGCTAAGGGCTCTCAGATCAAGAACTACAGAAACACCGCATGGGTACAATATCATAAAAAGTCTCTAAATCACATTCCATGAATTTTTACCTCATTACTGTTCAGGTAGGACCTGAAGGAAAGATTTTTTTTTTTCCTTCAGCTTATTTCTGCTTCCCTCACCCTGTTTCCATCTTCCAGTCCTTACAATTATCCTGGTCTCACAAAGTCATTTATTTCCAAAGAGACATCTAAAAATGATTATTGATGGTCTGGTGAGTCAGAGGGAGCAGCCCCTATGGTCAAGGAGCGCATGCAGTAAATGATCGACTGGGTGCCTGGAACCAACCTCAGACAATGGGTGATTCAATATCCACGAATACTTGCCATGGAATTCAATTAAAACTTCTTCTCTAGGCTTCAGGTTGCACAGCTTTCAACAGACATGGCCGTCTTAAAAAGAACAATGCCACAGTGAAAGTAGAGAAAAGAAAAGAATCAGTCTAGGGATTCGGTACTTTCCAAGAAGTGTGACCGATCCAGGCATGTTATCAAACCTCCTAGTCATTTCCACCTTTCCTGTATTATCTTGTGGCTTGTTGTTTAAGATTTAAAATCAGGGAGACTAAGAAATATTTCTTGAAATCTCACTCTGCTTACCTCTGTGTTTGTAATCAAACCACTACTACATTGGTGAACAAGAGAGAATTATCTTCACTCATTTTACTCCCCCTCAGCAGATGCAAGTAAGAAGCCTCTTGGAAAATGAAGAAATCCTTAACCACTATCTGTCTTTTTCATTTACTTGATGATTTTTTGCCAGCAATTTGAATAAATACCTTCTCCTCCTTCTCTTCCTTATTGTTTAACTTTAAAATTCATATCACATGCAAATATCTAGCAATGTGCATCCTGTGAACGAACCATATCTTGGTTCGTATTATATTTTGAAATAGCTCATCATGGTGAATAATGTTTTTACCGGAGAAAATGAATGTTAGCTACATGCTCAAGTTAATAAAGTTGTTCTCAGTAATTAAGATTGCCCTTTGGGTTAAATCTGGCCCTACACTGGCAAAAAGCAGAAATTCTCCCTGGGAGAGCTCACCAACTCAAAAACAACCACAAGAAAAACAATCCAATCAGCTGGTTTAGGCTAACTGGCATATAATTTTCAGTACCATTCCTTCTGTCATCGCTAAAATTAAAGGACTGTTCTGTATTATGTTTAGTTAAATGCAAATGAATACATTTTTCTTTTTAACAGTTTATTCTGCCAACAGCAGTTTTATCTTTTCCTTTTCCTTTTCTTCTTTCCCTTTCCTTCTCTTTTTCTTGAGAAATCTTTGTGCCCCTTTTACATCTTATTCTGCACTGCTGTGTCACCTCCTAGGATGGCTTCTTTTGACTCCCCTCGTAATATGAAGGTGTGAAAACCTAAAATATTTGCAGAAGAATAGTGTTACTTGTTTGATGTTCTCATTGGCATAATGTTATCTTTGAAAAAGAAAGATACTCATTTCACAGATTCCTCTTTGTCCACTGTAACTTACAAGGATGGATGAACTAACAGACTCTGTTTGGAGACATTATAAAAACTGGAGGAATTATTAAGTAAATAAAAGTTGGTTAGTATGATTCAATTTAATAAGAAGACAGTGCAGGGCAGATATATTATTTAGCATTCTTTCTTTATGATGGGTTGCTCTAGAAATCAGTGGGCAGATCTCTCTAATGTGTATTGATTGCTTTTTTAAGCTACTGTGGACAGATACTATGGCCATTTCTTCATCTTTAAGGGGGAAGTAGTCTATAGATGAATAATATGACTTATGTAGAGTTGCATGTTAGTCTTTGTAATTATTTACTCTTTAACATGCTGCAGAGCTCAGACATGATTTCAATATAGTGTTGGATTTGTGGATTTTTCTTTCCTGCCCATCTTGTTCCAGCCAATGTATGGATCCACTCTGTGCCAAAACCAGTAATGCCTTTCATGGCCTATTAGTCCAGAGAAGTTCTGTACTGATTTTATTAGTCTCTTGCTTTCCCAATCCTACATGTATACGAATCATGATGGAATAAAGTGTGAGTTGTACTGTGATCGGTGGTGTGTGTCTCTTTTTTTGCAACTGAATCTGCCATAGGGAATGAAGTCATCATTTCCTTGCTATTAACCATAGGATATTTTCTGTCATGTCTAATAGGCAATAGAATTAGAAATTCTGTACTTACAATCAGCTGCCATCAAAGTTAGATTAAAATTATATTTGAAGTGATGCTTCATACTGTAGTCACTTACAAAATATGCATATGATCCACGCTAGGTCAGGATATCTTGATTTGACCTGTTCTTCTCTTGTAAAAGCATCTGTCTCTTATTCTCTTTTACTGCTAACTATAGTCAGCATATTATATGGTTCAGTATAGGGGAGTGGAATGAGTTTTTTCTTTCCTTATGCAAGAGCTTGTTTTTGTTTGTTTTACAGTAAGCATCCTTTAGGAAATTTGAAGATTTTTTTAAAATCAGCCTTTTTTGCAAGCTTAGAGAGCTGAATTTTTACTGGTAAAAATAGTAACTGCTTGCTGTAAAAATAAAACCCCAAAAAACTATAAAAAGTAAAAGAAAAACAACCCAAAATTTTATCACCCAGAGACAACTTCTGTTAACATTTCAGAGAATATTCACACATCTAGGAATAGATATAGATATAAATATGGAATAATCTCCATAATCATACTGTTCTGTAGTCTGTTTTCTTCACTTAGCAATATATTGTGGCCTTTATTCCATCTCAATAAGTATAGACCTACATCATCAATTTTAACAGCCCTAAGTATTCCACAATGCAATTGTTGAGGCAGTTCTTTATTACAAAGAATGTTATGTCATAGATGCCCACACTGCTGTTAGCTGGGTATCCTCAGGGTATCAAAAATGCGCTGCTTATAAGCTTAAAGCTAGTTCAATCTGGTGTACTCTTACCATAACTGAATGGCACATTGAGAATACTCACCAGAGGCACAGCACAGTACTAAAATTCCCTGGTATTGATCTAGCCACATCGTCTTCAATGATTTCATTGCCTTGATTAGTTCTGCATTATCTAGACTGGCACTGGCAATGGAGCTAAAAATGTCAAGGCCAAATGTTAGCCCTGTCAACTTGCACTGGGCCCAGCAAGAAAGAGAATTCTCTACCTCAATACCAGAGTGCATTCCTCCTTCCAGAGCAGAAAGAGAGACCCTTGAGAGGAGTCACCAGAGGGCCCCCAACTGATCATCTCAGCAGTGAGGGAAGAATAATGAAAATACCCTCTCATCCTCTCATGACAAGCTTCAGATTCTGGAAACAGGAATTATGCTGAATGAAGAATACTAATCAGCAATAGGTGGAGACAAGTAAGTGCATTTTTAACAAATGCCCACATCCACCCAGGCTGCAGGACAGCTCCTGCCTTTTGAGAATTGACCATTTGAAAGGAGCTGGGAAGGACAACCGCATTGGTGCATCAGCAATGTGACACCACAGCAGGTAGGATGAAGACCATCAAAAATAGTAGCTGTGGTGCAAAGTGCCGAGTTCAATCCCCGGTACCAAAAAAAAAAAAAAACAGTGGCTGTGGGGGGCTGGGGATTTGGCTCAGTGGTTCTGCCCCCTGCCTCAAAAGCGCAAGGGCCCAAGTTTGATCCCAGGTACCAAAAAAAAAAAAAAACAGTGGCTGTGGGGGGCTGGGGATTTGGCTCAGTGGTTCTGCCACCTGCCTCAAAAGCGCAAGGGCCCAAGTTTGATCCCAGGTACCAAAAAAAAAAAAAAGTGCTGTGGTGGTTCCCAAGCCATGGAGATCAGGGTTTGACCTGGATTTGGAAAGACAGCACTGGCTTCCACAGATCAAGATGGGAGCACATGTATTGTTGGCTGAGGCACCATGAGAAAAAGGCCTGAAGGTGGAGAATCATCATGGGAGCTCAGGAGCAAGTATTTGTTGAGCACTTACTGTGTGCCAGTTACTTCTGTTAGGCCCTGGTGACAGTCCCTGCTTTCCTGGACATAAGGCAAGACACTAGACACGTTACAGCACGTGTGGTGAGCATTATGGAAAGAGAACAGGGTGCACAGACCAGATAGTAGATGACAGCAAGTGGACTTGTTTGGCTAAAACATGAGATATATATAAGATGGTAGTGAGACAATGTAGGTCAGCCCTGCCTGCTAAGTTAGGTTCTTTGGACTGAATTTGATGGTCTCTGAGGGTTCTCCAAGGACTTTTGGGTCAGGAAATCATATTATTGGAGCTTAATCTGGCAGTATTATGTAGGATAATTGGGAACTGAGAAAGAGTGGTGTTTCTCTAAATTTAATTCCTGTAAGCTTAATTTACTTAGACATCTCTTCTTATCACAAATGAGAGTCTGAAAGCCAAACAATTAACCATTTGCTGTTCTAATGAACAGATTAATACACCTTCCCTTCCCAACACCAAAGGGATATTTTCAGTACAAATGAAATAAAAGAACGGAAGTGTTCTTTGGAAGAAAGGTATAATGTAAATATCATTATCATCATCATTATCCTCATTAACACCCTTCACAGTACGTTTGGATCCCATCAAAATGTCAGCATCTATTTGAAACATCAATCACCTGCTCCAGAAATAACTCCGGATTTTTATCTTCGATGCCTCTAAACTGGCCTGACAGCTTCTGCAGTGACTTCGCAGGTGCCCTTGTAAAGGTATTGTAGCCGGTATGGCCGCTCTGTAGACATACGTGTATTAGGGAACTTGGTGAATTGGAATGTTCCCATCTCTGCTCCCCCTGTAAACATATTTCTAACTTAGTGAAAACTGGCCCACTTATGGTACAAGATAACTGAGGTGAGGTTATCGGGATTTTGGAGAACGTTTAAGTGCCAAATATGTTACTGTCGCTATAAATAAACGAAAGCTTCAAACAAGTATGGCATCAAACCACTTGGTATAATATTGCCTGGTCTAGCTTGTGACACGATGCCTAAAAACAATGTCTCAAGATGACGGGAAGCCCCTTCTATTTATAAATAGAAAGTTTCATTGCTTTGCTATGAATACAGAGAAAAGGCTTGGGTGTATTTATGTAGACCTACAGGGATAGTTTAGTTTTCTTTTTCTCTTGCTAGTTTGAAGTATAAATGACAAAGTGGTATACTTTTAGATGTACAAATTGATGTTTTAGTACACATATACATAAGCACTGTGAAATAATCACATCAAGTTAATTAATATCCAGCACCTAATAGTTAATGTGTGTATGTATGTCAAGAATATTTAAGATCTTCCTTCTTTGCAAATTTAAAGTACACAATATGACATTGTTAACTATAACCATATATTAGATCTTCAGAACTCGCTCATCTAACATACCTGAAGTTTTGTACCTCTTGACTAACATCTTCCCATTTCCTCATCTAAAACTTATTGTAAGTCCCTGTTTGTGGACAAAAAGCTTATTAATTAGCTAGAACCTGGAGAAACGAACTCAGGACAACTCTTCAAAATTAAATTAAGATATTATGGTATATATTGAAAATTCTCTCTACCCATAAAGGTACAGTAACTGTTTATTTCACATGGATGTGAAAAGGTCAGGAACCAAAGAAGTTCTGGCTCCAAGCAACTGTTCGGCTTTATAGAAATGTTAGTTTTTCCACTTCTGCAAGGAGCTTGTGGAATGAATACTGATTCATGCATCCAAAAGAGACTTGAAATTCTAGGGCAGGTTGTGAATAAAATCATTTATTTTGTTTACAGGGGACAGAGATGAGTGTATGAGATCCCCTGCGGTTAATGCTAAAACAAAAACTCAAGGTATTCTTTCTTTTGAAGTTTAATAATTATTGGGTGGGGAGAAGGAACACTGTTACCAGGGTAAGATGGTAGCAAGGAGTCTGGTAAGAAATAGAATTCACTGCCGCTTGGTTCAAATGAAGAAATTTTAATGAGGAAGGAGTACTAATGATATAAATAAAGAGTAGACAGAACACCCAGAAACCAGCTGTAAGCAACACTCATACTCCCACCAGGTCGGAACAGGAAACTCTGCTATGAAATTTGAGATAGAAAATTCAGGACTCTGTCAAAAATAGTTGGAGAACAATTTCCCACACAGGAAGGAAGTGTCTCAGTCTTTCTCTCTCCTCATTCTCTGATCTGCTGCTTCTACACTGGCTGAACACAACTACAAGATGCTACTGAGAAGACCCAGAGGGCACCTTCAGTGGGGTCGGCCTCCCAGAGCAAAGAGCTGACAGGGAAGGGCAGAGGAAGGATCGTGAGGGGCCATAGATGTCCAGAAGGCCACTTTGAAATCTGCATAATCCCAGTGCAGAAACCAGTTTAGTCTGTCAAACATTTAAGTCATTAATTCCTGGCAAATTCCTCAGGCGTGTGCCAGTTCTGTGGTCTGGTCCTTCCTCCCTCAACATCAGAAAATGATGGGGGCAGAATGAATGACAGAATATGAGTGTGCATTGCCTGAGGGTGAAAGATCATGAGTCCTGGACCACTTTATAAGCACTGTGTTAATTCTAAAATTAGACCAGTCTCTTGGACACTGGTATCCAAAAACAGAGAGTTATTTGCAGCATGCCCATGACCTTCTGGTGACATAAAGTTGTTTAGGATTCTGGAAAACCTATTTTCTCTGCTTCCTGTTTTCTTTGTACATCGAGCCCAGGACAAAGCATCTTGACTTCATGTGGTCGTGTTGCTCCTGAGGAAACCAGTCAATTTCCCTTCCCTGGGGGTATTCAAGGAGAGACTGAAGGACCATGTGGAAGAGTG